TTTTTCCAGTAGTTTATCAAAGATTTCAGACCTAAAGAGATATATATTTAACGAAATAATAATCATATTTGTTTAAAAAGAGAGTTTAATCTTATAATTTACTGTACTTTATAACGAGTTTATTTTGTCTAAAATACCCACAGTTTTTATATACACATTATTTTGACCACAAAAATAGTTTTTATTTCTGACAAAAATGATTATTTTTCTCATTTTATATTTAATAAGAAATTTTTAAAACTAATTTTTATTTGCTTTTCTTGATTCGCAACCCTTTTGTGTGTAGTATTCAAGAAAAAAATGATTATAAATAAGTTATTGTAATAACTAATTATATAATTGTAATCGCATTTTGTATTCTTGTATGTAATTAATTAATAAGGAGTTGATCTGTGAATTCCTGTGCCATCAAAACGAAGATTATTAGTGTCTTTGATAATCCATACATTGAGATAATTTTTTGCTCAATTTTCAGCCCTAAAACACAATCATAATTAACTCACAAAATATATATTTTTTTCCAGTAGTTTATCAAAGATTTCAGACCTAAAGAGATATATATTTAACGAAATAATAATCATATTTGTTTAAAAAGAGAGTTTAATCTTATAATTTACTGTACTTTATAACGAGTTTATTTTGCCTAAAATACCCACAGTTTTTATATACACATTATTTTGACCACAAAAATAGTTTTTATTTCTGACAAAAAATGATTATTTTTCTCATTTTATATTTAATAAGAAATTTTTAAAACTAATTTTTATTTGCTTTTCTTGATTCGCAACCCTTTTGTGTGTAGTATTCAAGAAAGAAATGATTATAAATAAGTTATTGTAATAACTTATTATATAATTGTAATCGCATTTTGTATTCTTGTTGTGTAATTAATTATTAAGGAGTCGATCTGTGAATTCCTGTGCCATCAAAACGAAGATTATTAGTGTCTTTGATAATCCATACATTGAGATAATTTTTTGCTCAATTTTCAGCCCTAAAACACAATCATAATTAACTCACAAAATATATATTGTCTGTCATTTGAATGAAATTGTTTTCCTCTCCGAGAAATGCCTTTTTATAAATACAAAATGATATGTAATAAAGAAAATGTTTAATAATTATATCAATGAGTACTTAAGAGTACGTTAAATGAGATTTCTTGTACTCAATAAACACAAAAAACAATTATTATTATAATGTAATTGAAATGCTTTTAATATTTTGATGTTTAATCTGTTTATTACTGTTATATATAATTATTTACAATTAATACATTTAGTGGTCGTGTGATTGATGTGGTGTTTATGGCTCTATAGATGATGTGATTCTTAGCACTAATTGTGAAATTCTGCCAAACGTTGCGCTCTGGGGGTGGAGTTCAGGCGCACAGAATCCAAGCATAGACTCTATGCGATTCTGTCCACACCCCGGGACAGGCCTTTCCCACACTTTCCCCTATCCTTTTCCCCATACATTGCCCTTATATTCTCCCCATTCACTCCTCTGATAACACTTTCATTCACTCAATACGTGATATTTTGCATTGTTTTTACTCTCGTCTATTGGCTGAACACCGGTTTATACAGCAAACAAGTGATATACTGCTTCTTACTGTACTTCACCAACACATCCAAACACTACCACTACTCCATCCCTTGTCATCCAAACATCACTCGAATATTTCAGTGAAATTAATTTCAATTCAAATGCCATTTAAATGGCTTTAAATTTGAGAATTTATTGTCATTTTTACGATTCAATTCAATGTTTATCTCATTTGTGAGAAACTTATGAATTGAATGATTGCAATACATATGAAAATGGATAACATTTTATGAAATGATTTTTAGCTAAAATTAGAAACATTTAGAATTTATATATAAATTGTTTGAGATTTTATTAATAGATAAAACAAACACATGCTTTCAAACGAGCACATATTTAATTATTCTCATTATTAAAGTAACTAACATTTAATAATTATAGAATTAACCATTTTAAAACTTCAAACTAATTGAGAGACATCTCTTGTATTCAAAAGACCTTTATTTTCAGTAATAAAAAATTTAATTTAATTATTTTAAATTTATATATTATTAAATAACAATTATTTATTTTATTAGTTTTAATTAAATAAATTAATTTATAACTTTTCTATAAGTTATTCACAATAAAAATTATGAATAATAACAGTGTTTTAACAGCATTTAACACATGTATTGATTGTTAAAATAGCTGTAAAATTGAATGATTTATTTATAATTAAATTACTAAATGACAGACAAACTAAAACTGTTTCAAGTAATCGATTGAAAATTAAATGACATAAAAATTTATTCGTTTTGAAAGTTATGAAAAACTTTAGTGTTTTTGTAGAATTGAATTAAATATTCAAACATTAATTGGATTTAATGACAATATTGTTAGAAATGGTTACATTCATATCATTTAAACGATTGATAGGTTTATGATCCAAATGTGGATTCAAATTCAGAGTGAAATACTTCTTTCAAACTCTGTATTCAATGCAATACAAAAGCAATCAATTCGTCGATGTTTTCAGTTTTTCAAAGACAAGACGTTTAGATGAGCGAAGAGTTTGATATGATTTGATTGAATGGACCCAATCATCACCTAATCAACTGGCGCAGGTGGGGCCCACTCAGCTCATACCTTAGTTATCATGGTTATTCTCAATTCATCAATTCACGCACAAACATATGCTTGCTATGCGAATACAGCTGAAGTGTTATTCAAATAGAAAATTGTGAACATCATATTGAACATAATAATATACACAATATTGAAAGTATCCTAACAATGACATTAAAACATTTGAAATCTTTGATGCATTTCCCGAATTGTGGTTAATTGTGGTTAACCTATAGCATCGCGTGTAGACCTTGTTTAAATTTAGAGTAAGTATGTTATATTGGGTTACTTATAGTGTGGATCAAATTGTCATATTCACTGAGACGGCGGTCACACTATGTGTGAATTGTTGTGCCCAACCATACCATGCATTCTATGTTCATATATTCCTCGACATCTAGTGAGACAATGTGTGGCCAACTCTTTATCCACGACTCAAACACTATTCAAAACTTTTTTAAAACACTTAAAAATCGCGCAAAAAGTGAGACTCAATGCAAAGAAGGCGTGACTTTGAATGCACTGTCAATGCTGTGAGTGATCGACAAACTGTTCACAAATACTGTTACGAATTGATAGCAATATTGGATGAGTTGTTGACATTAACACCAAAACAAATCTTTTTTGGGAACCGTTTGGTGATCACAACAGACAATAGACATGAATGACTCCAAACTCGAAACCGGTATTTATATGACAAGACATTTATCATTGATTTCTCGGTACTAATGAAGCGATTGTTTCGATGAACTGCTGGACCGCAGAGATGTCAGAAGTGGACAACACTTTGGCCGAAGATCTGGTCAAAGAAGTGCTCCAATCGGGCGTCGATTTGCGATCGTATAGTAAAGAAGTGGAGAAGTCTTTGACGGACATCGAGAACGCGTCGGTCAACGACTATATCGTTCAGTCGGAAGCGATCGCCGAATTGCATAAAGAGATCACTTCTTCGGATCAGATTCTGGAGCGCTTGGAAGGGATGTTGTGCTCATTTCAGGCCGATTTGGGAAACATCTGTCAGGAGATCCTGTCGTTGCAGGAGTTGTCCGTCTCTTTGAACCAAAGGCTCAAAAACAAGCAAACGATTCGTTCAAATCTAAGCCAATTCGTGGACGACATGATTGTGTCGGAAGCGGTCATCTCTCACATCGTCGACACTCCCGTCTCTGAGAAGGAGTTCTTGGAACAGCTGTACGTCTTGGACCACAAGATCTGTTTCGTGAAGGAGCAGTCGTTTCGCGAGGCCAAGAGCTGTTCCGATGTCCTCCAGATTCTCAACAATCTGAAGATCAAAGCCATCACTAAAATACGCGAATACTGTCTGAAGAAAATCCATTCGTGCCGTAAAGCGATGACAAACTATCAAATACCGCAAAACGCGTTACTCAAGAACAAGTTCTTCTACCAGTTCCTGATGACACACGACCGGGAAGTGGCGCGAGAGATACAGACCGAATACATCGAGACCATGAGTAAAGTGTACTTCTCGTACTTCAAGGAGTATTTGCACCGATTGTCTCGACTCCAGTTCGACGACGTGCCCGACAAACACGACCTCATGGCCAGCGAAGACACGGGCGCCAAATCGCACTCTTCGCTCTTCGCCAGCAAATACACGCTTAAGAACCGGTCGACTGTTTTCTCGATCGGCGATCGCGAGACTATACTGACCACCGATTTAGAGGCGCCACTCATTGTGCCGCACGTGGCCAACAAGAATGTGACCAAATATTCGCTCGAGAGTCTGTTCCGTTCGCATGAGTTCGCACTCGTGGACAACGCGTGTCGCGAATACCTATTCATATCGGAGTTCTTTATGGCCACTCAAAGCACAGCTCAAGAGTTGTTTACTCTAGTGTTGGGCAAAACTTTCTCACTGATGACCAAACATATTGAGGATCAGTTTGTGTCCAGTTATGACTCGATTGGTCTCTTCGTCTGCCTTCACATCATATATCGATACCGACTGTTGGCGAAGAAGCGAACGGTTCCCACACTTGAAACCTATTGGGAATCGATTGTGAAGATAATTTGGCCGCGATTTGAGTACGTGTTTACACTTCACTTAATGAGTATTAAACAATGCGATACAAGTAAACTGACAAACATTGAGACCACTCGACCTCATTATATCACCCGACGATACGCCGAGTTTTCCGCTTCGGTTATGATAATCAACGACACGTTTCCCGACGAACGGGTGTCCAATCTGTTGGGCGCTCTTCAGAACGAAGTGGAGAATCTGATCCTTAAGATGGCCTCACTATTCAAAGACCCTAAAGAGCAGCTCATATTCATTATCAATAACTATGACATGATTTTGGGAGTACTTATTGAACGCAAGAAAGAGGACTCAAAAGAGTCCGAAAATATTAAACAACAGCTAAATAAACGGATTCAGGACTTTGTCGAAGAGCTTTTGTGTCCGCATTTCGGAGCAATGATTGCATTCGTCAAAGACTGCGAGTCTTATATCGACCGCAACGACTCGGAAGCGCTTCAACGCCAGGAGACCAAAGTGACGGATCTGATTAAGTCATTCAACAGCGGATGGCGTAAAGCACTCGAAGACATCTCCCGGGAAGTGATGCACTGTTTCACAAACTTCAAGAACGGCAATAATATCCAACAGTCGGCACTGACGCAGATTATCCAATACTATCACCGCTTCAGTAAAATAGTCTCACAAAACCCGTTCAAAAACAATCCGATCCGAAGCGAACTCATTAACATTCATCAGCTTATGGTTGAAGTGAAGAAATATAAGACCAACTTCTGAGACATCATATTCTCTGTTAATTTTTTATTTATTTGTTTGTTTATCTTATAAATCTATTTTTCCCTTTATTTATACTTTATTTTTTGGGAAATGATAATGAAATTTATGGAATTTAAAATAAAAATGTTTATATATTTTAGTAAAAAATGTTGAATAGAATTGTTGTCTAACTTTTTTGTGGTTTAATCCTTAAGTAATATTGAATTGAGAATCAAATTATCATTTTAATGGACTACAGATGACTGAACTCCTTATGAAAATGGTTTTAAATGCGAGAATCAATTATCAAAATATATTATATTTGTGGTAAAGATCTAAAAATAATCT